CATGCTCACACCTCGTTCTGGCTTTTCAATGATTTTACGTTTCATTTCTATGGTTATTTTTATTCTCTTATGGCTGTCTTTTTGCGGCTTTTTCTTCAGGGACACTTTTGCAAGGGTTATTAAACTTCAAAACATGTGTACATATGTTATATGTAGCCTTAATCGAGATGTTAGATGAGTTCAGATCCTGTAACCCGTCTGTCAACCTTTCTAATCCTATTGATAGAGGACACGACATTTCGGAAACCAGATCTGTTTCTGTCTTCAGATGGGAAAGGAAGACACCTACTCAGTTGGGCCCTTTAGAAAGAGCTAATCTCAATCACTGGACCTGGAGACTAGCTCCTATAGTACCTAGAATTCTGGAAGATGGAAAAAGTCCAAAACCCCAGTAATTCTGTGTGTCATCCACCATCGTCAAACCCTTACAATCTTATTGATAATAGATCTATAGCTGTGGTTCTCTAACTGTCATGACCCACCGTTGGAAGCCACTTCTTTCTAACCGTTCCCTCTCACTTGTTGGTATGTCAAGTTTGCAGGTTGCTGCTGTGCTGGCTTAGTCACCTCTTCTTCCCTTGTCATTGCTATTGTGAATGGGGGTAGCTGACGGGGTATGAGTTACAGTGAGGGATGGGCACCAGCAAGCTTATTGTAAAGGCTCATCAGTCGGGTAGAACGGGGGATGAACCAGAAACTGCATGTGATAGGTGTACTAATTCAGAACAAGGGAGATGAGAATTTGTCTCAGGGTGTATCCAGGGCACACTCTAGCGGGGAGTCAAGAGTGACTGATGCTATTCACTACACCACATTGGCCGATGAGCACATTATAATTATATGAGTATGAGGGGTGAGCCATAAAACTGGTCCTAGCACTGTGACCTTCAATGGTCTATTGTGCTTTATTACAGATGTAGCACTTTAAGGTTTCAGTTAATAACACTGATTATTATACTTCTTAGCTACTCACTTAACAGTCCTACTTGTGATGCTCAAGCTGGATTCGGACTTGAGAAACCTTACATCAGTATGAATGGCGATGCTTGCAGTAACCTACTTCAAAATAATTCTACTTTAAACTTAAACTTTCAAACCGAACTTGGGGTGACACTAATTTTTGCGCCTGGATCCTTGGCGAGCTAGTAAGCAACTCCCTTGGCAGACTGACTCTGCTTTGGGGCAAGAAATCTCCCCAGCTTCAGCTCTGCCTCCATGTCACTCCCATAATTTCTGCTGAATGGAACAATTTTAATTTNGCTGCTGTCCCCTTGAATTCCTCCATGATATTGTCAGTCTAGAACCTTAACGTTGTACATCCCACACTTTGGGTAATCTTAATGCTCTAAGTACAGCCCCTCATCGATACTGTCAGTGTGGTCTAGCCTGGTGGCTTGCCATATAAGTCCCTCGTCACTTCCTGAGACATTCAAAAGTAACTTCTGTAATGACTTCTCACAGAGAGCAAATAGGCACCTTACATTTCACAGCCCATGCAAAGCTGTCTGGTTAGTTCCTTCAGGTGCAATTTAAATAAACTGCAGGAAAACCTTGAACCTCCACTGTGCCCTCTGTTCAGATAAGAGAGATATTTCAAATATACACACTATACTATATACTATATATACTATACAATATACTATACAAAATCTTTATTACAAATTAAGCTGGTGGTGTCAGTGGCATGGATACAGTTCCAACAAAATTACAGTTTGACAAGTCTACTGTGTTGAGTGAAAAGAAAAGGAAATTTACGGACAGTATTCTTTCTGCCGGTTTGGGTGAAATCTTGGCTGATGATTCAGATTTGAAAGTGTTGAGTAAGTTATGATTTCATTTGAAATTTGCAGCAAGTTGGAATTACTGTAGTTATTATTATTACTATTACTGTTATTTTCTCGCTTTTTACTACCTCCTTGTCTATCCAAAGGACCTACAAAACAGTATCGCCTACTTTCTGAATCTCTTGGACACTAATACATACATCAGAACCTCATTTTCTAACCACATAACTGCTAAACCACTTTTTAAGCGCCTCCTTTTCTAATTGCATGGTCACTAAAACATTTTTCATCACCCCTATTCCTGACCACTACTACTGATGGCATGAGAGAAAGTAGCTGGAAAAATATTGCCAACATATTAACAAAATTAAAGAATTATAAAGATTGAAACACAGTGAATCAATTTAAATGCTGTGAATGTCTGCTCAGAAAATGAAATTGCCCAAGGAAAGTGAGGAAATCTGTTCTTTTAAATAAAGAACTAAAAAGAGTTTTATTTCATTGAGTTTTTGAGATCCTTATGCAAATCTTTAACTTACTTTCCATCTTGAGTTTCCTTTGCAGCACCACACCATTTTTTTTCATCCCATGCAATTTCTTGGTATCATTTCCTTTTCTGGACTTCACACATTTCTCCCGTGCATATAAAAAGTACATAGTTTCATGTCAACCTATATTCCTTCATGTTGTGTTGAAAGTGTGAAGTTCTGCTGCATTCTCAGTCATCAGTTAATGCCTGTGCAGAGTACATCCATATAGAATTACAAAATTAACCCTTTCCACTCAAAAGTCAGTGAAAAATGACTTCACTGTGCCAGAAGAATTATTTGTACTGTACGAAAATTTCAAGCAGCACAGATCAGACTTGTACCAATAGATAGTATATGAACACAGACACACTGACAGTGAGGTGGTACATGTTTCTGAAATGGTTATATGGTTAGAAGTGGTAAAAATTTTGAAACTAAATATTGCAGACTTACTGTCATATTCCCTAGAACTGACAACTGGATCTTTATATAAAGCTTTTGAATCATGTAAGTTTCAATAATAAATTTGTTTAACCATCACATCTGTGAGCAGTGAAAATTTATCAAGTTTTTCTTCAGAAATTACAATGAATGCCTGAATGGGAACATCAAAATGTAATTTAATGGCACTCAACTGAAACACTGGAAAATTAAAGAATAAGTACCAATAACATGTTTCATGGAGGGCCTGAGGGAAATCATGATACACATGCTGGCTAGCTGGTTTCCAATCAAGTTTTGAAATGGAATACAAAGGAAAACTGCCAACTACCACAATGAAACATTTGTTACTTTACCTATCAAATGACGTTACTCTGGCTGCTATTAATAACAATGGGTAAAACCTACTTCAGGGTGTATGAGTACATGTAGATTTAACAATGCTAACACTACATTCCAAAATTAGGCATGATCTTAAGCCAGTTGCATGCACCTCCTCAGTTTTCAAAGTGGCTGAATCCATCAAAGTTTTTTGTATGTTTCCCACCACCTCCACATGATCTGTTTATACAGCTTAACAACTTATATTTCACTGCTGGAACAACACTAGCTGATTTGTATAGATCATCGAATGTCATTATGTAGTATCCCTCATCTGCTCATCATATCCATTTGGTTTAAAAATTTTTTTTTCTGCAAAATAGTGTAATTCTTTGAATTTTATGACATACAGATAAAACTACTATTAACTGCACTATAAAGCAAGAATTTGATTATGTGGATGTGATTTATTTAAATTTCTGATTAACTGTAGTTTTGTGAAACATAAGTTTAAGTTCTCGAAGCTGTCTGTTAAAGAGTAGGGAAAACTACGTGTATGGACCCTCAGTAGAGTCACAAAAATCTTTTACATCTGGCTGTACAGAGATATGAAAATATAGAAAAGTATAAATTGGGGAAAGATGAAAAAATTGTAAGTTGAAAATGACAAAATGTGATGTCTTACGAACTGTTTGTTTTAGCTTCCTTACAAAATATATATAAACATACTCTTTCAGTGTTCAACTTTGATCTGAAATGTTCTAGTTCACAAATCTGGAAAATAGTCCCTGAATCCAGAAGATTCATGTTCTGATACTCATTTATGACACGCTGCTATATTCATTCCCATGTTTAGCACCCTGTTGTGTATGTCACTAATATGTAAATATGTCTGCTGATAAATCAGTTCAGTTCATTACGATACTAAAGTGTTCATTCTCAATAGCATGACCATCACAACATCAGAACCAACTGAGTCATACCTCAACAAAAGAACCAGAAACAAACCCCATTATTCTAAAACCTTAGTGTAAAAGTACGTGACACATGGCCATCAACAATGTATATCTGCAAAACATCAATATCTACATAAAAGGACCATGAAAGGACCTATTTCATCCATTAAAACACATCAGTGACCACTGATACCAACAACATACACTCATACAACACCCATTTCCCCATAAGGAAGAAAAAAAGCGTGAAACATATTAACATCACTTCCCCCACACAAAAAACTTATACATAGGAGTAATAAGACAATTTTTAGTAAAAAATAAAAATAACAATAATTATTACTAAGGTTTACACAAGGTTTACTAATGTTCAACAACTATTTTAGTATATTTAAACACCTTAAATCTTATGTAAAAACTTTGTATAAGGAAAGACTGTTAGCAATGGATTCATTGTGTGATGCAATTAGTAATGAACACAGATGCATTTTATTGTTTATAAATGCCTGATGACATTCGTAAAGAACCAAAATATGTTGTGTTGAAATATTTTAATAAGCCAAACTGACCTATCGACAATTTTATTCTAGCATTTAATGAAAGTATAAAGTTGTTGTAATTGACAGACATACTTACATATTATGCTGCTATATGTTGGTTACAATGTATCCACTTGAATCTATTCATTTCTGTTGTCTTATGTGATTTATTTCAATGGTAACACATGTATTAAATTATTACATTTTCCGTTTGTTTAGTGCAGGGATCATGACAATGCTTTCTGTTCTGTAAGCCAAAACCAGCTTTGTTAGTTTCCTTATAAAAAAGAGCCTAAAACTTATACAGTACACTACAGTAAGTGCTATTACTTCTTATCATCATTTGCAAGTTTAATGACATTGAATGGATAATTATTCAAATACACCATGTGAAATTTACAATATGAAAATTTAATATTGCTGTTTTGCACAACTCACATCAATATTCATTCCATAAATTCATTTCAAGAATATAACAAAACTAGTACTTGCCAACACTGCATTATGAGAAAGAATTCAGAGAAACTTTTGTTCTCTGTTCTTATTTCCAGTATATTTCAGGCAAGAAGCCTACTGGCTTTCATGGCTGTTGTTAACCTCTGTTCATTCTATCTATAATTTCATCACCTTATGGTGGGACTGGTTAGCCACTGTTTTGGAGAACGCTTCCATCATTCCACTCTGCCATGTGATCCAAAATTATAAATACAGGGAAACCCCCATTTAATGATTCCGTGATTTAGAAGGCTGAGTAGGCTACAAAGCCAGTCTGGTTATTGCAGAGAAAATTCTTGACCCCACTGGGGCTTGAACTCTGACCCCCAATCACAGCTCCTATATCATTCATTGTAGTTATATGAAATGCAGAACAGCAGTTAAACTTCTCGTTGGTAACGAAATGTTACAATGATGGCTCATTAACTGGATTACAGAATTAATCTCCCACTGCAAAGAGTATTGTAGCTAAATTTATATGCTTTGTTATTATTATTTCTTACAGGATCAAACCTATAAACCTGCGAACATCACGTTAATATTATACTGTATTCACATATCTACATTATATAATTTACAGATATCTCCATATTCCACTCTGTCAACCATTCTGCCCTTCAAAGGGCCTGAGGATACTTCAATGGTTACACAGAATTTCTTCTGATCCAGTTCCCTAAGCATGGCACTGCAATCACGATAAGCGCCATTTACAACACGCACAGGTCGCCCTATTGCTGGTACCACTGTTTCAAGATGTTCTTGGTCTAGTTTTAGTTTGTGTTCACTATCTTACATGGTTACAGTAGTTACATACTTATCTGGCACTCCAGTCACAACCCCTTTCTTCCTGTGGTATTTGTCACCCAGACACTTTGCCATCACTTTCACAACAATTCCTGCAACCAACCAATAATCCTTTCTGTTTATATGTGCTTTCTTGTTCTCTTCATCTTTAATAATCTCATCTAGGGCTGATAATTTCCTCTTTTCACCCCTCCCTCTTCCAGATTCCCAATCTTTGTTGTTTCCTGCTGAAGAACACCCTCCTTTCTTGTAGTCATTCTTCAATGAATTACTTTCCACCAAAGTTTTATTTTTCATGTCTTCATCCCTTTTTGTTTTTAACTTCAGATTTACAACTACTTTATATTCCTCACTTTGTCGCACAAACTCTGCGAAGACAGGAGTGTAATTCTTGGAAAATTCTTTCTCCTTCTCAATTTGCTTTTCAATAAAGGCCATCATCTTCTCTTGGTCGTCTCTGTCGACCTTCTCCTTGCGACCAAGAGCTTCTTGCATTGCAATGGTTTCTGGGTCACGGTCTATATACTGTACATGACATCCCTTTTCAGTCTCATCCACTATGCACTTTCCTTCCCTTCCAAGACATTTCACAAAGTCTGTCAATGTTTCCCATTGCGTAGAATTCATATGCAAATGATGACGGTCGGCGATATAGTCCTGGTACACACGATTTGCATGAACACGTTTTGTACCAAACTGACGTTTCAGTAGTTCCAGATAACCGCTTTCAAACTCTTTGTTGAAATTATTAATGTATTTGTCTGCATTATCAGGAAATAGAAGAAGTCGCCGCTGATGTGATTCTGACGTCATATGGCACGTGAAACCATTCTCGTCATGGCATTGCTTCTGACACATCTGACAATACCAACGAAGTTTCTGGAGGCATTTCGCCATTAATTTGTTGGCAATATATTTGGGGGTACTGACTTCATGTTTCCCCATTATGTTTAATATATTTATATTCTTTATAACACGATGCCAGTAACCTGGAATAGGTGAGCTGTTCCTAGGATATGGTTACACAAGCATCTGCAGAGAGCAAAACACCAAAAACACAGTTGTAATGTGGTCATTGCCTGCTGAATCGACAAGATAAAAACTTTCTCCTAGGATATATATGACGCTATAAAACCTCTTTAGTCCGTGTATAGCGTTTATAGCATTCACACGTACAAAAACACAACTTCTTCTTCAAGTTTTTCAGAATTCCTGGACTTATTGTTGACCACTGTGACCAACGAAGCCAAATGTAACTTGTTCCCAATGCAGTAACTAGCGTAACTAGAGATGCTTTAGATTATCGATGTCCAACTGGCAGACCGCGGGCCGTATCCGGCCCGAGACTTGATTTACTCCGGCCCCCCGCCAAGTCGCAGGTTTATTTTCAAATATCTTAACTTCACAGCGGTATTGGCATAGAATACAGTTTTTAATATGACGTTTCATTAGCTTATAGCATTTTGCAATTGACTGTATACGTTCTTACCGAGTTGGACACTTCAAACTGTTTTCTAATAACTGTGTTCATGTCATTGAAATTCCAAGTCCCCCAATCCTACTTCTGTAGGGAGATGACACTGAAGGGAAGACCGTAGTGGTGAAGGATTTATGACACCTTCAAAATAATAACCATTCCCAGCTTGCTCGCAGGAATGGGATGTTTACCGTTTCTATCGGCATCCTGGCCTTTATTAAGTGACAGTTTTAGCAGAAATGTCTCCCAGTTGGTGAGATTTTAGAAAGTGAAGTGTGATTACGGAGTGTGAGTGTAGAACTGTTTTTCAATTAAAATTGTGTTTGAAGTTATTGTAAGTGATACAGCATGTCAAATAGTAAATTGAGAAAAGTTGATAGTGAAAATAGGGCGTTCAAATATCAGTGGGAACATGACTATTTTTTTATATTAACTCAGAGGCGAGGCTTTGAAACCGTTCCCAATATGTAAATTTTTCAATGGGTTCCGAAAGATTCCTGATTTTTACATGATCCAGTATGTGGAATACTATTAGTAGGTGATCTGAATCCAAAATATCAGAGACGATAACATCTGACACTCTGATATTTTTGTGAACCACAATGTCCAGCAGGTCACCAATTCCCGCACGGGAATAATGAGTGGGGCACTGTGGTTTTAAAATTTCGAAGTCGCTCATATCAAATAAATCGATGAGTTTCTCGCCTGATGGGTTTGAATCTCTGCTGTTTCAAAATGGGTGTTTAGCATTCAAATCACCTGCCAAAATAGACTTTTGTCTAAAGCTTAAGAGCTCAGTGCTGTCAATATCACTCCAGGCTCTGACTCGAGGTTTATGAAGAGCTGCAAGCAGTATTTCACTACCACCAATTGCTATGCAGACCCCTGCGTTTCTACTGAAAAAATGGGTGGTAGGTCTACATGGTTATGGGGATTGCCTTTTCTATCTGCAACAGCAGTTCCGCCTTTTCTGCCCAAGTGGCTGTCGATTATATAAAAGTGGTAATTTGGAATAAAGTACCTCTCATGGTGTTTCAGACTTGTCTCTAAACACAGGGCCACATCTACGTGTAGACCATGCAGCTGTTTACTGAGCTCATAGCGCTACCTCGCAATGCCGTTCGCATTGAATGCTATGACTTTGAGGGGCCTATGAACTCTAGTGGCCATTTTGTTTCATGAGATTTAATACAAATTTTGTATTTGCCACTAATTTGTCCTCCACAGAGACTGCACCATTGAACTCTGTCATGATCTTCTGTTCTACAGCCACTAGTCTCAACATATTGTCGAGAGGTTGGCTGTTTACGTGAGGAGCCTGAACTGACTGACCTGTTTCGTTCTGCAGTTCAGAGGCCGGTACAATCCCCTTCCTTGTGGGTGGACAATCCGCCGGAACATGGTTTTCCAGAGGGTGCTGTTGCTGCTGTCCTGTGTTTCCTCGGAGTGCCGTCGCGAAGGAGACACTTGGGGTGACGTTGTTCGATGAGAACACCCTCCCCATAGTAGTTTTGGGCGCTCTCTGTGCCTTCCTTTTCTGCTGCTCCTTCTTGGCATGTTTTCAAACCCGATAATTGGTGGAATGCGGGTTGTCTCCCTCCGCCAAACCGCAGTTGCAGCAAGTTGGAGTAGAGGCAGAGTTTCCCTTTTCTGGCCACTCCTTTTGTAGGTGGCCACCTCCGCCCCACCAATAACATGGAAGATGACTACAGTTAGCTCAGACGTGGCCGAACTGTTGACACTTATGGCAATGAGTAAGTCAGTCTGTGCTCTATAGGCCTCTACCTTGATGGATATGTGGCAAATGCTTGACAGATTAATGATTTCTTTTGATTTTGCCGTTGGCAATAACGTTATGTGGAACAGGTGAAAGTTCCTGGTTGTGGTTTTTTCGGAAGGGGAACTGCGTGTTGTCATCATTTTTTTGACGCTAACCTCGAAGCCCAGGTGCTCCAGACCTTCCGAAATATCCTGGGCAGGGGTATTGATGGGGACGTGTCGGATTACTGCCTTAACGGGCTTCAGGGCTTTAAATGTCCGCTGCTGGTGCGCGTTTAAATGCCCGTTGCTACGCTGCGTTTAAATGTCCGTTCCTGTTAGGCGCTTAATCAATTTTAAGCGTTGTGTTTAAAAATGCTCTATCTAGCTCAATTTTTATGATAAATGGATGGAAATAACTTTGTTTATTTCAGAAAAGAACATAGTGTCGCATATTATAAAGGAAGATTTGAAATTTTTAATACAAAGTGTTGTACTCTATTTTCAATTTTTTGTGTTTTAATTTTGATGCGTACTGCAAAAATGGTTTCCCAGTTCTTCACAGAGTTGTTCTGCATTATAACTTCATTTCTGTTTGTAACACTTGACAAATTTTAGCAGTCTCTGGTGTCATAAAACAGATGGAAGCAATAAAATCATTTGGTCTTCTGCTAGCGCTGCTTACACCCTTCGGATTTTCGAATACTTGACTGAAGGTCAGAAGAATGAAAGAATGGCTATTCAAGAGAAAGCTATAGGGGTCCCCTCTTCAGTGCTAAGATGTTCCGTTAGGGCTGCAAAAGCTTATTGCCCCTTCTATTTGAATGAACAGACAGCTGCATCGT